GCAAATTGAGTAAAATTGAGAAGCCACTTTAATATTTAAAGAGGAGAATAATCAATTTTATCAATTCTTATAGAAAAATCTCCTAGAAATATATGATAATTTTCATTATAAAGCTCGTGTTCTGGTATCATGGCCCGTCAAGTCCCTTAAATTTGGATGAGCGCGCAACCTTGAGAAAACGGTCTATTAGAAAAATAATATATTCAATACTAGGGAAGCATGGTTGGTGTAGTAGCAGAGAGAGCCAAGTTTGAGTCCCACTGAGTTGTTTGTTGGTTATCTCCTGTGCTTCAAGGGTTTTTCTCCAGGTTCTCCGGTTTTTCCTCCCTCCAAAAATCTATTGGTTGCCTTATCAAGTGGGGTACAAAACCTGTTATCAGGGCTTTCAATAATATTTGAAGTAGATAAATGAAACTCAAAAGTACAYGTCTGTTTCCACAAATTTTACTTCTTACTTATTAAGACTGATTCGCAAAATAGCCRGCAGTATGAAGGTAAGTACCAGGTGATAAACCGCCGGTAGCTGCCTTCTATTGAAACCCCTGGTTATGCTTTAATTTCCATTCCATGGAGTGGCATACGTGATAAGATTTTTTCACAATTTTGATATCGATTACCTGTACATATAACAAGTTCATTGCTATCTTATCCTCCATTATCTTGTCTTCAAGTTTTGAATCCCAAAAACTACATTTTACATAAAAAGACATAAATTGCATTCAGTAACATGATTAAGAAAGCAAAGAGGCTCCCTTCCCACTACATGCAGGGGGAAGAAATGGGTATTTTCTAAAACTACACAACATACCCTCCTCAGACCCTTATTTGATGAACAAAGTGCATTGTGGTCTACCTTCCACTACAAGCAATACCATATAAAGTAAATTGAACGACAAAAGTTTGCAACAAAGCTAGACAGTAATGCATCACATTCACACTCTCAGTCAAACCCTATAGGAAATAATAGTCGTATAGGGGCAGTACCTACAGATTACAGTTAACATTCATACTCACTATTTACGAACGGCAATTCTGTATGTTCCTTGTAAGTTCTTAATGCTTAGATAGGGTGATTCATAATCTTGTAGCTTTCTTACAACTAGAAGCGAAGAAAACAGTTATACAAAATAAAGCTTGAGAAACCTGCTTTATCTACCCCAAGAAAACTATTTAAAAGTTTATCTAAATGTTTCAGACATAGGTAATCTTTAAGAATGATCAACATTAGCACTGATTTATTATCATGCCACTTTTCATTACTGGAACATTATAATCAATCAATCAAACAAACCATCTTATTAATTCCATTAATCAATCAATAGATGAATAGGTAGGTGGACAAGAAGGCAGGCAAGTGTGTATGGGTGGGCAGGTTCATTGGTGGAATGGTGGGTATAGACAGACACAGTACTGGATATAAAGATATATAGCATATATAGATATATAGCACTGGATAGGATGGGATGGATGGACAGAAAGATGGGTGGTGAATGGATAGATGTTCTGATGGCTGGGTGGATGAGTAGACAGATATATAGCACTGGATAGGATGGGATGGGTGGACAGAAAGATGGGTGGTGAATGGATAGATTCCTTACATCATCATCAACAAAACCAATCAATTTCAAGCAGAACAAGCATGATCACCATTGCCACTATAAAACGACTTACTAGCTGCTTCGCCATCTTCTTCTCTTTTAATCAAAAACAGTGCAAAGTAATGCACAAAATTTTCATTCAACTTTATCTCTGCCATGGCAGCCTAGTTAGAAGTAAAGAACAATCTTAATCAACTGTGTTTTGATAAGAAAAACATACAGCATAAATTATCTGAGGCTGACTCTTCTAGTTTGAAGACTTTTCCTAAGTTGACCTTTTCTCAAGATGACTTTTCCTAACATGGAGCATCATGGTCTAGCTTGGGTACATCTTTCRGTCATACTGAGGTTTATTATACTGCTATACCCAATCTAGACCAGAATGCATCTGATTTAACCAGAACATGAATGGTACAGTATGAACATCATGGTATGGTTTAGCTTGATAACAAACATCTTTTGGTCATCTYGCCTTTTATGGTACCTACTATACCCCATCTATACCAGAATGCACCYGGTTTAACAAGATGGTAACATCATGGTTATGGGCATTTCCATCACTTAAAATAACCTTACCTCTAACAGTAATGATAAAATGGTAAATTGTACACCGTGAAAAGATGAAAAATTTTACTGACGTTTCAGACACTAGTCCTTCGTCGGAGTAAAAGAGCTCTTTTACATAATTTACTTTTTTATCAATAGTTTTATCATAAACACCAATGCAGCTCACACTAGTTTTTAGCTAGTCATATCTCCTTACCTCTAACACATCTTCTGTACTATCTGTTGATACTATCTTCAGTGGGATTTTATTCCCATTCATCAGAAAAACATCTAGATCAACTGTTTCTGCCAGGGCATCTGAGTGTTCCTTGAAAACAAAAAAGTACTTTTGTATAGGAATCCAAGTAAATAAAAATATAAATAGACCTTTCCCTCATTCGCTTGACTGGTCACGAAACAATGGTTTCAAGTCAAGGTTTACAGGAAGAAAAAAAGTAAATCTAAAACTCTCTAATCTCTGACTCTCCTGTATGTGTTTTGATACCTTTTGGCAGTTCCTAAGAAAACCAGAAAACATGCTGCTATAGGCAACATCAGTATCCTGACAGACATCCTGCAGATATTTCTCCAGCTGTTCTCTTCTCTCTTCAACCTGAACTGCCGTCAGTGACAAGATTTTTCTYGGAGGAAATGTGGCTGTGATTTTTCCACCAAAATTCTTTTTCAGCTATGAAAAAAGAAAGAAGATATTAGTTTACCCAGGATAGTTAATGTTGTTGGATTTTGTTCTAAATGCTAATGGCTATTGTCTATGGTGACAATGATGATGTCTGCATCATGCAGAAATCGTGTTTATACCAATTCCATGAGAAGATATTTAACAAACTGGCCAAATATAAGGTAATAACCAACCTGTTCATTAAAGTGGTAGAGATCAGAAAATCTCACGGCGGCATGAAATGATCCATTAATATGCAGGTTATATGCCTAAAGTACAAAAACAATACATCAATCAATGTGGACAGACACTTGGGTAACATGAGTGGGGTGATCATATTATAAGCAGTGGAGACTGAGATGGACAGTCACAGAGATATATATTCAAGTCACAAAACTTATACCCCATTCACACCAAGGCTTACAATACAATACAATACAATACAATACAATTTTATTTACAATTACATGTTTTAAAGTTGTTTAACTAAACAGGTTTGTAAAACTATCTACGAACACTGCACAATATTTGGTGAAATAATGCATGTAAATTATCCTTTGTCTTGCTCTGACAATATTTTAGAAAGTTTCATTATATTGTAGGTTTCTGGTTTCTCAATTTTTTTCCTAAGGAAAACATAGTTTAACTAAACACGTTTAGGTGTGAATAGGGTACTATGCTTGGCTATTGAACCAGAAATAGTATTTGTTAATCCAAACATCTTAGATCTTCATCCTTCTGTTACTGAACTGGAAAACCTTATGCCTGTCTTGAATCTAACTATAACCACAATACTTTCAATAATCTGTATATGTCATGCTAATTGAATTGACTTGCACATTACAAGCATCGCACACTTTGTGGTTAGTAGGTTTCTGTTTTATGATCAATTCTTTTGTCCTTACAAGTGTGTACCACGCATCATTATATCAGCACATAACTGAATGGGTATTTGAGCCAATATCACATTTACTGATATTTTCTATATAGCCAAGTTTATGTAATGTACTATTTAATTATATAAACTTGGCTATATATAGAAAATATCAGGCTGGTACATTATCATAATCAAAATCATAATCATAAAATGTTTACATAAAGGATTGTATCTACGAAAAGATTTGCATTAATAATTGAGTAAAGCACAAGTCAATAAATATGGCTGGAGTATGTCTGCGGAGTAGATGTTATATATATTCACAAGCATGTTGACTTATAAGCAAATATATATTACTTATACTTCATTAACAGGGCCATAATTAAGGAGTTTCCACCAGCAAAATACATCGGCCTTAATAAACGATAGTGTATCACAAACAAACACGGRAATAGCATTTCTTGTTAACTTTTTATTGTTTTTTACTGAACGCGATTTGCGGTAAATCTAYGAAAGGACAAAACTACTGATATAAGTTAATTAACCGATATCATCGAAATTTAACACCCAAAACAATTCTAACTACTGAAGTAAAACATTAATATGTACTTTAAAGTAACACCTAGGCAATAGTTTATATTTTGTTCAATACTTTGGATTTATTATTTATTAAATGTGTTTCAAGTAAGCATGAATATTTGACTCTCCATTCCTTCGAACTGTCTTGCAGGAAGATCGAATGTCTTTACTCAAGTATCAATGGCTTCAGCTTAAATTACATGAAAGTAAAATCCAGTAGAATAGTTTGAGTATTCTCTTGTTATCAAAACTCGAGTGTATTTGAACAGGAATTTGAAAAACAACATTCTACCAACATTTGGTTTATTGTAATACCGCAAAAATGCGCAACTCGAAAATACCTTTGAACATTAATTTCTTTACCTGAAGTATTCAGAAAAAATTCTTAAGAGCTTTGTAATTCATTATGCGTTTCAGAGGAAGGATATATTTTTTAATGTTAGAATAACGATGAGAATTCTTTGAATTTCGAACAGCGAATTGGAGACACGCTTCGCCAACAACAATCAAAAACACTTCAAAGATCTCAAAATTTTCAACATTCTGTAACTATTACTTACTAAATAGCTTGATCCACTTCTATCCTTTAATTCTACTGTATCCGGGATTGAAAAATGCATAGTGAATTGGAGAACAAAGGAGTTGAACTCAAAGTTTGTTCAGACTGATATAACGAGCCGCCATCTTGAATAAAGGAGATGTTGACATGCACACGAGTCACGTGATGACCTCGTTGTACCAGGCACCGAAGGATACCGGGGTGTAAGCACTCCAGCCCACGCCCTTTAGGGGTAGGGGAAGGGTTAAGGGGTAGGGTAATAGTTTGTTAAGAAAAAATGAGCTTCAAATTGTATTAAACATCTGCTGTTGAGCAGGACCCTTGACTAGTGTGGATACTTTTTTCAGTTACTTTTTCTTCGTTTTCAGTTTGTAACACAAGTATCCCAGTCCCGTCGCTAGGGGTGGCTCGATGGTTTGAACAAACCAACCCYCCTCCCCTCCACCTTTGTAGGAGTATGAAATAATGTTTAACGCTATTTTAGTTTTTCGAGAAATGGCATAACTAAGATTGGTAAAAAACGAACATCCCCTTTCAAGCCCGGGGGGGGGAGGGGGGTACTACCACCCCAACTTGGGTAGGGGTGTGCTGCCAGGACCTCAAAACCCTGACCCTATCCCAGACCTAAAATTTTGCTTTTACATACCCTACCCCAGACTAAAACTAAGAATTGTACACCCTATCCCAGACTAAAAGACGGAATATACGGTCTTACAAGCGATTGCAATCAATATTGACTAACATTTTTATTGTTTTTGTGCCGGCAGAAAGCGTAGCCTATTCGCCAGACAAAAATGACCAAATCGTTAACCCTATCCCAGACTAAAATGATGCCCTATCCCAGACAAAATGTCAAAAAATGATACCCTACCCCAGACTCAAAAGCCGAAAAACCATACCCTATAAGGCGGCACATACCTGTATAACAAATATAGGGGAGTACCCCCCCCCCGGGCTTTCGAGGTCCTAGTGACAAACTTGCACTCTGATGATGGATAAGCTTGGAAAATAATAATTACCGTAAATCCTCTATTTAGCCCCCCCTCTCAAATAAGCCCTCCCTCTCTAATAA